CATATAATCTTTGAATGTTGTGATGAAAATAAAGAAATTATATCATGACATAATCATAGTTAGGTGGACGAATATGTGTATCCTAAGTGAAACAAGTTCACTATTATTGTGGAGTTCCCATCACCCCAATCACTAATATATGGCCCTATGCAGTGGCGAAGGTGGAGGGGCGAAATGTAAAAGGATAAAAGGTCTCAACAAAATTTAGACAACTAAATCCTTTAGATGGTAGATAATAATAATGTCGTTCATAATTTATCATTACAAACAAGTTATAATTGTTGCTAGCGAGGTTTCATGTCATAAAAACGTCACATAATAGATTCATTATCAACTTAGTGACCTCACTTTTTTTGTTTTTTTTAGTAATGCTACATTTAACACATATTTGTATCATCTCTATAACAGAGGTAGAATCTACCAACACATGTGAATTAGAGATGATACAATTTTATTTTTTTATTTTTTTTATTTTTTTGTGAAGACACTTATATGGTATGAATATACAATTATTTTGATATCTCATATCAATAATACAATAAGTACTCTGTTTGTATCATATTTGACCAATCCCGAAACTATTGAACACCGGTCAACGTTATACCGTCAAGGACCCAGAAGAGTTTCCCTCCAACCAGGAGGCCAATCACAGTGCGATACGTGTCGACATCAGAAGCCAATCATAGCGCGACACGTGTCAACATCAGAAGCCAATCACAACACGGCACGTGTCAATGTCAGAATGAAACTAGAAACTCTCTTTTATAAATAGAGATCATTCTCTCACAATATTTCCTAAGGTCATTTGTACTAAATCATTCACTTGTACTCACTCAAGCAGAGCTTGAACCTATGCACTTGTGTAAACCTTTCACAATTAATGAGAACTCCTCTACTCCGTGGACGTAACCAATCTGGGTGAACCACATACATCTTGTGTTTGCTTCCCTGTCTCTATCCATTTGCATATTTATCCACACTAGTGACCGGAGCAATCTAGCGAAGGTCACAACTTAACACTTTCTGTTGTACCAAAATCCTCACTGATTTTGTGCATCAACATTTGGCGCCGTCTGTAGGAACGACACTTATTCCCACTCTCTTTAGCTTTGCCAAGCTGGTTTCCACCATTCGTACATTTTTTTTTTACCAGGCATCCCTCTCCAACATGGAGAGCGAAGGAAGCCATAACACACAGAATGACACCCCTCTTGCACCTAGTGCGAAACAACAAAGAATGAAGGAAAGAGGGTTGCTCTTCAAGCTAAAGTCGATGAGCTAGAAGCTCAGAACAATAAGATAGCAATGGAGAATGAGGTCCTCCAAGAGTAGTATGAAAAACTCTTTGAGACGCTCCACGAAACTAGGCGTACTCAAACATGCAAGCTTGTTGCCCTTGTGGACATCAACCATCATCTGGGTGCCCCCTAACACAGAGGGTCACCTCCATTCGACATGGGTATCCCTGATGAGGAGCGACCTAATCATCAAAACATTGATCAACATGAGACTTCTCTCAACCCAGATGATTCGACCCAAAGTAGAAGAAGTGGAGGAAAACACCTCCTTGTAGAAGGGTTGGAAGGATCGAAAGCCGTTTATCGTGACTGCCGAGACTTCCTAAAGCAACGTCGAGAGAATCCCTTCCACATATGCTCGAAGATCAATGACCCAAGGATTTCTGAAAGACTCGGTCCCCTCCCACGACCCAGGCCAACTGTCAATCTAGGGAAGGAACGACAAGTCCCAGAGGAACATGAAGGTACAGATGACTCTAAGGTATTTCGACAGACTCATCCTAGAAGTCAGTACGACAAGTCCAAGAAAAAACCACACGCCCTTGCTCAAACTTTCCTACTTCCAAGAGGCGATGGAGACTTACGAAAGAAAATTCTAGTGGTACATGACTCCACTAAGGACTACCTTGTCCTACAGCTATTTGAGGAAGTAAACAAGTTGAAGGCAGAACGTCAGGCCGAGATACCTGACTGGAACCAACCCAAGCCTGGCCCTCTCACAAAAAAGATCCTCGACACACCCCTTCAAGTGAAAACAACACAAAAGCTTGGTTTACAACTCTATACTGGAAGGGAGGACCCAATTGAACACCTTAACCTCTTTGAGTCCACCATGGCATATCAGATGCACACCAACGAAGAGCGATGTCTTCTCTTCCCCTCCACCCTCTCTGGCGGAGCTCTAAACTGGTATTGCCGTCTTCCACCTGAGACAGTAGACTCATTTGAGGAATTGAGGAAACTGTTTGTCTCTCAACACATCTTCCAGACCGATCACTTGCATTCTGCAGATGACTTGTACACTATTCGCTAGAAGCTGGACGAGTCACTACAAGAGTATGCCGGTCGCTTCAGCCATGAGTATTCTCGCTGCGCTGAGGTAGATGACAAGACCTCCCTCAAGACCTTCATGGCTGGCCTACGTGATTGTTTCTTCAAGTACATGATCAATGCCAACACTTGGAAGACTTACTTTGAAGTGATGGCACATGCTTACAACCACGCCTCCGCCGAAACAATGACATACCAAGGGAACCCCCATATGGTTAACCCCTATCAACAAATGGGAAGTGGAAGTCAAGTTCTACCAAGTGAGAAGATATTGGCCATTCAGACACCCATTGCATCATCTCCTGCCTCATTTAGCTACTCGCTAAGTCACCAAACGTATCTGTCTCTTGGTAAGATGAATGATTTTTATTCTCAGCAAGCCCATTACAACAAGAGGGATAAAAGTTCTTATCAAGACAAACAGGGGTGAACGTACCATCGACTATTCTGACTATGGGGCCAAGCCTCACTCTTTCAAAGTGGAGGACTAGGTACTGAAGGAAATGCTATTATAAGAAGGCATACACATTACAAATGTTTTGACTTTCAACCGCTTGAGATCTTTTGTTACACAAGCCATTTGGCAAATATTTAAAGAAGAAGGAATTCAGACAACTTCTTCTGAGTCTTTTGCGTTCCTAACATTGGAACACTTGGCTTACGCTGACCTACCCTTATACTCCAACTCAGAGCTTCAACATGCGTACTTTGACACAAAGTATGTGATACTAAGTGTTACAACCAACATAGTTCACATATCAAAAACATGGATCCCTTCATGCATGCAAAACATTCATAAGCATCACTCATATCAATCAACATAAACATTATACATTCCAACACATTCATACATAAACAGCATACATTCCAACACATTCATACATAAACATCATACATTCCAACACATCCATACATAAGCCAATTGTGCTTCGAAAGGGTTCAACATACTTTGTGTCTTCGACACTTCCTACATTGTGCCTCTACACCTTGCCCTTATTCTCACCAACCAGGTGATGAAATGTGAAGAAGAAACTCATCTTCATGCCACCAACCAGATGATGAAATGTACAACCCGTACTCTCCTTCATGCCACCAACCAGGTGATGAAATGTATAACCCGTACTCTAATATCATTTGGCAACTTGCCACTCATGCCATCAACCAGGTGAAGAAGAAACTCATCTTCATGCCACCAACCAGGTGATGAAATGTACAACCTGTACTCTCCTTCATGCCACAAACCAGGTGATGAAATGTACAACCCGTACTCTAATATCATTTGGCAACTTGCCACTCATGCCACCAACTAGGTGATGAAATATACAACCCGTACTGTTCTTCATGCCACCAACTAGATGATGAAATGTACAACCCGTACTCTAATATCATTTGGCAACTTGCCACTCATGCCACCAACCAGATAAAGAAGGAACTCATCTTCATGCCACCAACCAGTTGATCAAATGTACAACCCGTACTCTCCTTCATGCCACCAACCAGATGATGAAATGTACAACCCTTACTGTCCTTCATGCCACCAACTAGGTGATGAAATGTACAACCTGTACTCTAATATCATTTGGCAACTTGCCACTCATGCCACCAACCAGATAAAGAAGGAACTCATCTTCATGCCACCAACTAGTTGATCAAATGTACAACCCGTACTCTCCTTCATGCCATCAACCAGATGATGAAATGTACAACCAATACTCTAATATCATTTGGTAACTTGCCACTCATGCCACCAACCAGGTGAAGAAGGAACTCATCTTCATGCCACCAACCAGGTGATGAAATGTACAACCAGTACTCTCCTTAATGCCATCAACCAGGTGATGAAATGTACAACCCGTACTCTCCTTCATGCCATCAACCAGGTGATAAAATGTACAACTCGTACTCTAATATCATTTGGCAACTTGCCATTCATGCCACCAACCAGGTGAAGAAGGAACTCATCCTCGTGCCACAAACCAGGTGATGAAATGTGATGAAAGGTGATGAAGGAACTCACCTTCGTACCACCAACCAAGTGATGAAAGCAACTCACCATTCATTCCACCTACCAGAAGACGAGTGGTACAACTTGTACATGTGAACTCTTAGCATTCACAAGTAATAAAAAACCCTCAAGCTTGACAACTCAACTAAGGGAGCACTTTTGCCCAATAAGAGTTATGGTCACCAACAAAGTCTTATTGCAAGTCAACAACAACTTCAGTGCATGGCATACGAAGATCAAGCTATTCAGCCCTCTTGCATCTACTTCAGACATTTCCCCTCTGTAACAATACAAACACTACAACTCGTAGAAAGCTTCACACTCTTAATCAAGACAGTGTGAAGCAAAACCAATTTATGGTGCCAACTAAAGCTTCATCAATGGAGGACAACTACAAATTCTCAAAAGCTTCACACTATCTTGATCAAGATAGTGTGAAGAAAAATCAATTCATGGTACCCAACAAAAGCTTCAACTCCAAAGCTTCACCAACAAAAACTTCATCAATGGAAGACAACTACAAATTCTCAAAAGCTTCACACTATCTTGATCAAGATAGTGCGAAGCAAAATCAATTCGTGGTACCCAACAAATAGGGGTGGGCGCGGTGCGGTTTGGTGCGGTTTCGAGTGAAACCACAACCGAAATCGAAACTTTTTGCGGTGCGGTGCGGTGCGGTTTTGAAGCCAAAACCGAAATGAAACCAAACCGTTTGGTTCGGTTCGGTGCGGTTTCAAACGGTTTCGGTGCGGTTTCAAACGGTTTCAAACCATAGATTAACAAACTGAAAACAACAAATGGTGCAGACTCAAAATGAGAGAAATCAGACAAGATGTACTAGGCAGGGGCGGGAAGATTAACGACATTAGAACCACAGCACAAACTCTTTGAATTCTAAAAGAATGATACTCAAACAAAATAGTTTCAAATGAATGAAGGAAATAGGTACTTACATGAATAACTAAAACCGGACAGCTGACATGCCGTATTTTATCTATATTCTGAAAACATTGCACAGAGCTTGTCAATACAAATTCAAGTAACCGAGCCTTGCAGCAGAATTAAGCAATTCAAAGAAGACAAAGTCGAACTTACTTTGAAAATGTCGAACCAAAATGTCAACCTGACAGGATACAAGACTCGTATGCCTGAAAGGATGGCACTGTGAAGAACAACGGCTCTGAGTTTTTTCAATTGAGAAGCCAAGTGCAGTGTTGGTCCGCTTCCAACAGATTGGCCATACACTATCAAATCCTCCTGTCTAATTTCATAGTCGCTCTTCAAACAATTGTACACGGCTTCTATGTCATAGTATGTGTTGAACTCAGATGGCTAAACAATCACCAACATTAACACATTTCAGTCGTAGATTTTAGCTATGACGGTCAATAGATCGATGTAAAAGGGATGCACGTTAGAACCTGAATTCTGCACTAACCACTATAAACGCAAACCAACTCCATCGATACTCAATACTTACCTTACCAGTGGATGCTCCATATCCCGAATAGTCATAACTGCGACAAAGAAAACCATGTTAAGTACATCCGGGAAGGCTTTCGCATCACTGAAACACAGTGAATTACAAAAAATTGCAGCATATCATCTGCATTTTACATTCAAAGTACATTAACGAACTCTCAAGCGCTTAACAAATGGCGGCAGAGGAATTTCTACGACGAGGATCGCTCTCATCCTACGCATCCATTCCATACCAACCCCGCCAAAAAGCATTAAAACAAGAAAGCTACACGATCAATCAAACAGTTTTAGCTTAAACTGTTGTTTACTGGAACAATCAAATGTTGAAATTTCAAAGAATATAAAGACCAACAAAATATAAAGAAAAATTAGCATGCGTATTGACCGCCGTTGTTTACTGGAACAATCAAATGTTGAAATTTCAAAGAATACTAGCATGAACAGATAATCTAATAAAAAAAACAAACGAAACATATCAAACGTGGAAGCAGAGAAGCATCCATATTTGAAATATCATACACCAAATTCAGAAAATTTATTTCAAAAAAGGCAGAAAACAATCGCTCGCAGGAAGAAGCACATACAGAAGCAATCGCCGCAGAAGCAGATGCAAGCAGGTGACCAGGTCGCATAGGCAGATGCGGTGCGGAGATGCAAGGAGCGGCGCAGAAGCAGTCGCAAAACCACTCGCACTCGGTGCAAACCCAGAAGTTCTGGCGGCGCAAAACCAAGTATACCGTATAACCTAGTTGAATAATGAACTAAATAAAACTAAAAATTGCGGTTTCAGTTTCGGTTTCGGTTTCGGTGCGGTTTTGAAAACCCAAAACCGAAACCAAACCGTTTTGTGTGCCGCGGTTCGGTTTTGAAACCGAAACCGTTTCAAAACCGCAAAACCAAACCGTTTGGTGCGGTTTGATTCGATTCGTGTTTCGGTTTCGGTTTTCGGTTCCAAGTGCCCACCCCTACCAACAAAGCTTCACTAACAAAAACTTCATCAATGGAGGACAACTACAAATTCTCAAAAGCTTCACACTATCTTGATCAAGATAGTGTGAAGCAAAATTAATTCATGGTACCCAACAAAAGCTTCAACTCCAAAGCTTCAACTCCAAAGCTTCACCTACAAAAGCTTCACCCACAATAGCTTCACCTACTAAAGCTTCACCCATAAAAGCTTCACCAACAAAAGCTTCACCCACAAAAGCTTGCCCCACCACAAAAGTTTCACCCACAAAAGCTTCACCCATAAAAGCTTCACCAACAAAAGCTTCACCCACCACAAAAGCTTCACCTACAAAAGCTTCACACTATCTTGATCAAGATAGTGTGAAGCAAAATCAATTCATGTTACCCAACAAAGCTTCAACCTCAAAGTTTCACCTACAAAGCTTCAACACCAAAGCTTCAACACCAAAGCTTCACCTACAAAGCTTTAATATATATATTTCAGAAATTCAAAAATTCAAAAATTCAAAAATTCAAAAATTCAAAAATTCAAAAATTCAAAAATTCAAAAATTCAAAAATTCAAAAATTCAAAAATTAAGAAATTCGAAAATTTAAAAATAAAAAAAAATCAAAAAAAAAAATCGAAAAAAAAAAATTTGCCTAGGCCTCCTCTTCTTTAGGCCTAACAACTTTCATAACAAATACATATGAAGAAGGAGTTTTGGGCTACCACTTAGAAAGGAAATGCCTCATTCGTCAACTCCCTCAACCAGAGACTTGGGGGACTCCTACCATATGCTACTGCACCTTGATACTCGGAAGTCTCACGACCACTTAGAGACTTGGATATTTCAAGTCTCCAAACGAGAAGTTTTCCTTACTCAGAAAATTAAGGGAGCACAACCTCAACCTACATGCTTCACTCACAAAGCTTTAACATACAAGCTTCAACAAAAGGAAAAATTCAAAGAATTTAATGAAGAAGGCCTTGGTGTATTTAACATAATACGTTGAAATGAAGCAAAGCTTGTTTATTGATATCTTTGATAAGTTACAAATATGTACATATACATGAATCAAAATAAACAAACAAGAGGGAGCCTTCACAAAGGTTGCTCAGGAGAAGTTTCAGCAGTCGGCAGAGCCCCAGAAAGAGGAGGCACAAGAGGGTGATTATTCGGAGCCTCAGTACTAGGCAGAACCCCAGAATAAGGAGGCACCGAAGGTTGATCATTTGGAGCTTCATTATGCGGTACAGCCCTAGAAGACGAAGGCAATAAATGCCTTTGGAACAAACCCACAAACCTCTGATGATAAAGTAAAATCTGACCATCAGATTCCTATAGATGGTCGAGCTTCCTCTTCATGTTTGTAGCATAGTCATGTGCGAGCCTGTGCAACTGTTTATTCTCATGCTTGAGCCATCTGATATCCTGTTTGAGACTTATCACTTCAGCCACCAATGATTTAACTTGGCGTGTTCGAGCAAATAGACGTTGGGCCATATTAGACACAGAACCTGCACACTGAACACTGAGAGTCAGAGAATCCTTAACAGCCAACTCATCAGACCGTTTGGAAAGTAATCTGTTATCTTTAGGAGTGAGAAGGTTCCTAGCCACCACCGCAGCGGCATATCATTCTTCATCACAGAGTCCCCAACGGTAAGAGAACCAGTAGGAGATAAGAAGGATGGGCGCCATATGTTGTCTTGAGAAGACTTGGCTGCCTCTTTACCAAAGTTCAAGTTAAAACGATGGTCGGATTAGCCAGACATTCTCAGAAATGATGAAGAAGAAAGGAGGTGCAATAAATCTCTTAAGTAAGGGGAAAATTCCTACAAGCAATAACTCTCTGAATGTACTTCTTGCACACAATTGGTGCCCTTATAAAAGAAAAGGCAACAGGGCCGTTGGTTCAAAAATCAAAGAGGCACCACTCTCCGGATTCCGAAGAGGCACCACTTTCCACACGCAACATCAGCTCCTCAGGTACCACAGATAACTTTGCCAAAGATCTTTGACAAAGTTTAGACACATAAATTTTGAAGGTCCAGCTACCATACTATTACCCACAAGGGTAAAGGAACAGCACCATTACTTGATAACTAGAAAGTCCCAATGTGTGTCAACCTCTGTACTCCGTGGCAAGGCAGACTAGCAAAAATACCCAACCTTTACTCACATTCGAGAAAACACGCGCCAACGAGATTGCTTGCTCAAAAATCAAAGAGGCACCCCTCTCCGAATCTCGATAGCCAGTCTCCCAACAGGATTACGTGCTCAAGAATCGAAGAGGCACCGCCCTCCGAATCTCGAGAGCCAGACTCCCAACAGGATTACTTTCTCTAAAATCGAAGAGACGCTGCTCTCCAAATCTCAAGAGTCAGACTCTCAACAGGATTACTTTCTACAAATCGAAGAGACACTGCTATCCGAATCTCAAGAGTCAGACTCCTAACAGGATTACTTTCTCAAAAATTGAAGAGGCACCGTTTTTTGAATCTCGAGAGCCAGATCCCTTACATGATTGCTTGTTCGAAAACCGAAGAGGCACTGCTATCTGAACTTTGAGAGTCAGATTTCCTTAGATAAAGCTTGTCTGCAATCTTCACAAGCAACATCAGCTTTCCAGATACCACAGACCACTTTTTAAAAGTACTCTAACAAAGTTAAAACACGCGAAGTTTGCAGCTCCCACTACATTGTTATGTCTTGTAAAGGAATATCGCTACTACTTATTATTAGGGAGACTCATATATATGTCGACCTCCATCCTCCACAGTCAGGCAGACCTGCAAATAAAAAAAAATTCTCAACTTTTCTTCACATCCGAGAGGGCACTTCAGCAGAGTCTCTCGAAATACTCAGCTTCCCCCCCCCCCCCCCGATAATTCCTCTGCAAACAAGCCACACCAGAGCAAGAGTATCTCATATCATCAGGGTTAAAAGCAAGAGTATCTCATATCATGTTTTTTCTCTGTCTTTTCCTTTGACCTTGTTCTTACCTGCAAGACAATGAGAAAGAGAGCAATCAGTCAGCACTTGGAATCAAGCTTCCAGTCAGGAACTGACTGCCTGGAACCCATTGCCTGATTACTTACCTGACATTGCTCTCGAGTATTCATCTTCAACATCTTATGCTTCCAGAGAAGATACCACATCTGCCTGAGGAACAGATAAGGCAAATGAGAAGGATACAAGGAAGCATGTGGAGACAAGAGTAACAGAACACGTGCTGATACATCCACTACTTTGTCAACAGCAAAAGTATCCCATATCATCAGGGTCGAACATACTCTAGATTTGATGGACTTGTTTTGACCCTCAAATTCTTGAGTCGGCCTTATACTCTGGAGGAAACCAGAAAACCTTTCAACCCAGTTCAAGAATAAGCCTATGGAAAGTTACTTTTTTAATAGCTAAAGTATCTCATATCATCTCTTCTCCATTTGCTTCTTCTTATCCTTGTTGCTGTGTACGACACAAGGAGAAGGAGAACAATCAACCAGAAGCCGAAGTCGAACCTCCGATCCAGGTTGCTTACTTGGAAGTCTGATTGCTTACCTTGTCTGTTACCTCATTCGGCAAATCTCCTAGCTCGGCGACTTGGGGGACTCCTACTATAGGGTTTGTATCGCACTTGACCAAGCCCGAAACTACAAGTAAGCTTCAAGTGAAATTGACACATTACCTTGTGTATCTTCATTGGTTAAAGATACCACCCTTGGATGACGAAAAAGTAATTCCAAAGAAGATGCCACATTTACATATGAGACAGATAAGGCAATTGAAAATGATATCACACTTCGGTACTTAGAAGTTTCGTGATTACTCAATGGCTTGGATCTTGCAAGTCCCCAATTGAGGAGCTTCCCTCACTCGGGAACTTAGGGGAGCACTGTTTGTACCATACTTGACCAATCTCAAAACTACTAAGCACTGGTCAACGTTATACCGTCAAGGATCTAGAAGAGTTTCCCTCCAACCAGGAGGCCAATCACTGGATGCCACGTGTCGACATCAGAAGCCAATCATAGCCGACACGTGTCAACATCAGAAGCCAATCACAATACGACACGTGTCAATGTCAGAATGAAACTAGAAACTCTCTTCTATAAATAGAGATCATTCTCTCACAATATTTCCTAAGGTCATTTGTACTAAATCATTCACTTGTACTCACTCAAGGAGAGCTTGAACCTATGTACTTGTGTAAACCCTTCACAATTAATGAGAACTCCTCTACTCCATGGACGTAGCCAATCTGGGTAAACCACGTACATCTTGTGTTTGTTTTCCTGTCTCTATCCATTTGCATACTTATCCACACTAGTGACCGGAGCAATCTAGCGAATGTTACAAACTTAATACTTTCTGTTGTACCAAAGTCCTCACTGATTTTATGCATCAACATACTCCATTCTCGAAAACCTTACTTCAATATAGAGCTGCTGATGTGAACTGTAAACTGTAAACTCTTTATGTGCTGCTTCAATAACCCAACCTTGGATTGAAGCTTCACCATTCTCCTTTGCCCTTTCCTTTCTCTCTCATCTCATCTGCCCCTTCCCTCAACAGTTTCCCACTTCATCTTCCTTCCTGCTTTCCAGTCTTCTTCATTCTTCTTTTATTTCAGTTTTTTTTTAGTTTGGTCTCGATTATCCCCTGAGCTTGTCTCATATTTAGGCTTCATGCCCTTTATCTGGCTATTTTGCCTCCTTTTATTGCTTTTTGTTATTTACTTTTCCTTCTTCTCTTCCGTAAACCTACTCCAACCCTTGGAGTAAAACTTAAATTTTGGGTTCTAAACGCACCCCAACTTGATCCAACTATTGGGGCGAATATGAATTTTAACCCAAAACTTATTTTTGGAGCAAATTTAGGCTAAGATTCCCCCTGAGTTAGTGGGATGGCCCACCGTATGACACGCCTCAACCCCAATATCCCCAAATTGGCTTCCCTCATTTCTGGGTAGACCCGATTGGCTTCGCGGGTCACCAAACCCCGCAAGAAGAACACCGGAAATCCAAAGGTTTTCGCTGGGAAACTTCCTCGGCTCCAATCTAGGTCAAATCTCCACCATTCCCAGTGATTTTTGAACCACAATGATGCTAAAGAATAGGGGAACAAGAAATTACCAATAATTTAAGGGTTGACTGAGGTCGTAGTTGGCCGGAAAAGGGTTCGAAGCCACAGGATTCCTAGCCGAAAAACTGAGGAAATCTATCCTTGTATTTTCTGCATCCCGAGCTCACCAAAATGAGCACATAGACTTAGGAATCAAACTAAATATCAAAAGGAAAAAAGAAGATGAACCTCAAAGCTTACCTGGCCTGTGAACAACGAAGGTTTCACCAGAAATGCTCTGTGATCGTTATAGAGGCCAAAAGTCCTTGAGTTGATTTTCCTACGAGTTGTAGTCCTCGCTCTAGAGCTTAAATATGATGTGATGGTGGTGATTTGGTAGTACGAAGACTCGTGCGGCGAATATGGCGAGTAGGGGTGGCCGATGATGGTTCAAAATGAGAGATGCGAGAATGAGAAACAGAGAGAAAGGGGATAGTCTGGGGAAAAGATAGCCGAGAGAGAACTGGGAGTTAAGGTGGTAGTTTGTAGGGTGGGTTGCCGGAGAAAGGTGCGTGGGTGTTACTTAAGGGAAAAGGAAGACGACAGAAAATGAGGGAAAAAGAGTTCCAGAGACTGGGGAAGAGAAGACACGTGGTAAAAGGAGAAGTGAAGTGTAGGCCCCACATGCCAGAAATCAATTAAATAATAAAATATCAAAACCATAATATCTAGAATAGTGGAATGACTATTTTGCTCTTCGACTTCGTAGTTTTGTACAACGTTTATCGTAACTCCAAATCCAATTCCGTTTGTGCCTACACGCTCGTAGCGATGAGTGTAATAAGGATATGCTAAGCGATCGGACATGGCAATGCGGTCAACAAAAGTCAACATTTTTTTCCTCGAAGGGCATTTTTATAATTTCACGTTATAAATTTATAAAATCCGTAATATTTGGGGACAGGTCGTTACACCATATTTGTGTACTTCTTTCTAGTTTTATCTTTATAAATTCATTGCATCCAATAGGTAAGATATAATATGATTAAATCCAACGGCTAAAGTAATTAAAAAAAAATTCTTTCATGTGTTTCATATTCTCATAGTGTTCCACGAGATTCACGGTGTCAATTTAGTGAACTTTCAATATTTATCAGAATGTAGATATTTTTAGGTTAAAATGTCCATAAAATTAAACCAGGATAGTCTACATAATTTTTTTTTAAGGTTACTTTAAGAAAAAAAAATAATCCTAAGTTCATTCTTTAATAATCTTGGGCTAAAAATTTAGCCCAGAAGGTTGGAGAAAAAAAAACTGTTTCTGGATTAAAATCTAAATTTTCTGAGTTAAAATTTTTAGGTTTTAATTCAAGAGTTGGAGATGGTCTTAGCGGTGTTATTCCATCCCCACCGCATCCCGTGTTCGGATTTGCCTGCTCCGATCACACATTGGATATCAGATCCACTTTCTTCCCTCACCTCCCTTCCCGTAATTAACATGTCGGATTCCCATCGAGGCCAAGTATTCCGAGGCCTCCACCGCAATATGGGTATTTTACATACCCCTTAGTCTCACTTTCTATAAATAAGGTACTCTGTTTGGATATATTTGTAGGGGTTCGTGAAAGAGACTTGGATTCATTATCTACTTTCTCGGTTTGGAGTTTGGTTTCCTCTGAGGATGGTCGCGGCAATTTGGTTTATGCTGGATGAGATTAGGTTTTTTTTGTTGTTTGTTTTTGCCTCTTTCAAGTCTAAGTTTGTGTGGATCTCTCGTTATATTTTGGGTTGCAGCGCTCTTTTTGCTTGGACATGTTAAATAATTAATTTCCAAACTTTAAACTTCGTAACTAGTTTAATTGAAATCTAAATTCAAATAAATTAATATAAATTCCCGAAAAATAATATAAATTCTCAATAATACAAATACGTAGATTATAATAGTGAAATCCAGGAACGGAATTTCACAAAAAATTTAGCCCAAAAGGTTGGAGCAGAAAAAAGTGTTTCTGGATTAAAACCTAAATTTTCTGAGTTAAAATTTTTAGGTTTTAATCCAAGAGTTGGAGATGGTCTTAGCGGTGTTATTCCATCCCCACCGGATCTCGTGTTCGGATTTGCATGCTCCAATCACACATTGGATGTCAAATCCACTTTCCTCCCTCACCTCCCTTCCCGCAACTGACATGTCGGATTCTCATCGAGGCCAAGTATTCCGGGGCGTCCACCACAATATGGGTATTTTACATAACCCCTTAGCCTCACTTTCTATATATAAGGTACTATGTTTGGATATATTTGCAGGGGTTCGTGAAGGAGACTTGAATTCGTTATCCACTTTCTCGATTTAGAGTTTGGTTTCCTATGAGGATGGCGGCGGTAATTTGGTTTATGCTGGATGAGATTAGGTTTTTTTTGTTGTTTGTTTTTGCCGCTTTCAAGTCTAAATTTGTGTGGATGTCTCATTATATTTTGGGTTGTAGCTCTCTTTTTGCTTGAACATGTTACTTTATTTGTTGTTATTTAGCTAGATCTTTTTGGACCTTGTACTAATTTTTACGGAAGTAATCCTGTTTGAAAAAAAGAAAAAGAAAAAAAAATGTACTCTATTTTCTTTCCCTAAATAATCAGTATAATATTGTTCGTCATAATCTTGAGGAAAAGAAAAAAGGAAACATAAAGGGTCAGACCGTGAGAGAGACTGCATAGCTAGTTAGCTACTGTTTTATAGTTGATTTGTGTCTCTCATGCTCAGTCCCCCATAATAACATTGTCGTTTTAGCTGTCATATTGAACCCCATTCGCCATCCCCTCGCAAGCGCTCCCTTCCTTCCTCCAATCACTCGCTCTCTCTCTCTCTCTCTCTCTCTCTCCCCCCCTCCCTAAACCCCTGCATTGTCCTCACTCCCAAAGCCTCCCACATCACCGCCATCCTCCCTCACAGGCCGCCGCTGCTCATTCCCACTCTCCACCTCCTCCCTGTTTTAGAAAGAGGTCCCAACTCAGAAAAAAATCATAAGTCACTCCACATGGATCGCTTCTTTACATCTTCACCTTCATTCACTTTCAGCCTTCTTCTCTTACTTGCCATGGCTTCCACAGGTAAAGCTCCAAACTTCCACTCTCTCAGCTTCTCTGCTTTCATGGGTTTTCCGTAGTTTCATCCGGGTCTCTGTCAAAACTCACATTTTCACTAACAAGTTCACAACTTTCTCTCTCCTCTATCTCTCCCTCCTATGTATTTTGTGTTTCAGGTGTTTTAGCGACGACATTCACATTCGTCAACAGATGCGACTACACAGTATGGCCCGGGATTCTCGCAAATGCGAACAGTCCTACGCTCGACTCTACCGGATTCGAGCTCCCCCAACAAACAGCCCGCACATTCCAAGCCCCGACCGGCTGGTCAGGTCGTTTCTGGGCCCGAACAGGCTGCAGTTTTGACGGATCCGGTTCCGGGTCCTGCACCACCGGCGATTGTGGCTCCGGCCAGGTGGAATGCAATGGAGCCGGAGCCGCCCCGCCTGCGACGCTAGCCGAGTTCACTCTTGGTACCGGCGGTCAGGACTTCTACGACGTCAGCCTAGTAGACGGGTACAACTTGCCCGTTTTCGTCGAAGGGACTGGCGGGTCGGGTCAGTGCGCTTCAACCGGGTGCTCCACGGATCTGAACAGGATGTGTCCGACCGAGTTGAGGGTTGGCGATGGCGACGCGTGTAAGAGCGCGTGCGAGGCGTTTGGAACTCCCGAATACTGTTGCAGCGGCGCGTATGCTACACCCAACACTTGTAGCCCGTCGGTTTACTCGCAGATGTTTAAGGCGGCGTGCCCCAAGTCATATAGCTACGCCTACGACGATGCTACGAGTACGTTTACGTGCACCGGTGCTGATTATACGGTGACGTTTTGCCCCTCTTCTCCAAGGTAAAAAGGTTAAAGCTATATGCTTTTGCTTTATTGCTTCACAAACTTTTGTTGAACGTATTTCATCATTCAAGGATTTACATTTAAATTTTTATGAGCTGAATTCAAATACGAGACCTTATAAATTTTGACATGTTATAAAATCCCAAAAAGCTAAAGATTATTCCTTGAAAAATTAAAATATAAATATGATCTAATATTATCTCTTTTTGTGATTTTCATTTTGTTGTGGGTGGTTTAATGGCTAATTGCCAATGCCATGCTGCCAAATATTCTCTTTTTAATGTTTGATTAAGTTTTGGAGTATTTTATTTATAATATTTGGGTTTTTATTTAATTAATTTAGGTTGGTAAGATTGCTTTTGCATGTGATTATGTATTATTTTCATCACTTTGGACTGTCACTTTGTAGGGTTTCTGATTAATTAGCTGGTTTTATATGGTTTCTTCTAACATTTGATCATGTGGGTATGCAGTCAGAAATCTTCTAGAGATTCAACAACACCAATGACAGCAACACCATCACAAGGGGCTGCTACCGCCGGGTCGGATCCCGGGTTTACTTATTCGAATTCCGGTGCCGGCTTAGGCGGTGCAGTGTCTGGTTCTGGTACGGGTGCGGGTACGGGTACTGGGGCAGGTTCCGGCACGGGGGCTGGTGAAGCAATGCTGGCAGATGGGTCATGGTTAGCCGGTTTGGCCATGGGAGACTCACCTAGGGCAGTACCTCTCCCCACTCTACACTCACTCACTGCCTCAGCAGCTTTATTTATCCTCTTGTCCTATCTCTACCTGTAGCCCTTGACTTTCATGCACCATGGGACGAGTGTCGAACATTTGATCCATGTGAATAGCACGTGACCATAAATGTAAGACAATGGGAAGTTTTCCTCCGACTCTATGATTCCTTGGCTTGTTGGTCCTCAATGTAAATTCTTCACGAGGTTTTGAGTGTTTAAGTGGTCACCGGAGTTTTGCCTTTGGTAAGAAACGCTGTCAGATTCATCAAGATTGTAAAATCCATCAACGTTCCCTCCAAATATCATTGTGTAACATACACATCAGAAAAAGTTGTTCATTTTCCTTCTCTTATACCCTTTTTTTCCGCAGTGAGCACATATGTCAAACAAGAATGCTAAAGTGTCAGTCTCTCAAAAGCAGTTCGATCTATGCCATGATATATCGATCATTCAAAGATCTTAAAAATATCCCTCCATTCAGCGGCACCTTAGGGGATGACATAGCCTATAAAAAAAAGTTAAGGGCGAGGTTCTAACGAGGAAATGCTTGGATTCCTAGGTACCCATAGACAAGGAAGGGCGTAGTAAGCGACGAAATGCTTTAGGGAGTTGAAAATAAGCGTAGATCCGGAGATCCCCGAATAGGTTAACATTTCAAACTAAATTAATTATGCAATGCTACGTGAAAAAATTAAAATATTAGCATCATGTATTTAGTCTGGAATGTCACACTGGTGTTCCGAGGTGTAGTTCAAGACCTTCATGTAGTAGCAAGTGCCCTTTTTCTTTCCCGCTTAAACTTTGTCTGAACTCTGAAGGTTCTGCCGCTATGTCCTTATTAAAGCAACAAATGAGGATTGAAAACCGTTCTTTTGGTCTTCGACTGCCTTTTTGTTTTTGGGTTTTGTTTCTGCTTTGATTTTGTATCAAAAGAAAGAGAATTTGTGTGTGGCTTGTGAAGGTTTCTCTTGAAAAGGAAGTGTATAATCGAATGCGTGAGTAAAACTGTAGGCTGCTTTCCGTTTGAGAGGCACCACTTTGCGGGCATTTCAAGTTTATGTTTAATCTCTCTCTATTTTTTTTTTTTCCTACGACTTGTGAGAGTTCAAGCCTTCAAGGTTCATATTTTTGGGACAAGACGTGTTGAAGTAAATTTTGAATACGTGCAATTACAAGATCAGAAAATATGTCGTGTTCATGGGAGTTATACTGAGTTTAGAACTCGTGTTTTTGCTCACTCATTCCTACTCAATATCGAGCAAAACTTATGTATGACAAATTTTCATACCACGTTGCGTTCATACAATGAGTGTTATAAACATGAGGTGGTACGAAACCCTATAAGTTATTTCCATGTTATTAATTTGTTTGGTGAGATAGTGCATTGGGGTTGAAGTCGTAGGTCGGATTTTCAAAGGGCAATAACCTAATCGTCAGTGGGTTTTGGGGACCCAAGAACAAATGCAAAACAAATCTTTACAACTAAAATAAAGAGGGATTTGGAGCAAAAGTGATAGATTTGTGCAAATGACATAATTAGCTACCTTCTAATGTTTGATGTAATCATAGACCATCAACTTTTCTTCCGAAAATTTGCATAAAAGGAACATGATGTTGACATTGTTGAGATGAGAATATAGGCTCTTTTTGGCCCACCTTTGAAAATTTTCATAACCACTTTTTGGACCAATCTTAGCAAAATTGCTTAGTGATTATTTAAACTGGCGTAAGCGGACAACTTAATTAGTCCTAATCGAAGTTTTTTCGTCATTTCTTCTGATACAAGTGATATCAAGCAGAGAAAACCAAAGATGACAATATAAATGATTTTAACCACTTGAGTTACAAACTATTTATGTGCTAACCGAAGTTACTCAAGGTGGCGTGTGTTGATCTACAGCCTATCAGATTTCAATGAACATGGGGACTTATAATGCTATAGATTTCAATGAACATGGGGACTCATAATGCTATAGTATTAAGCAGTTTCTCCATTAAGTAAGGGGATGTGCTATATATATACCTCATTTTACTTCTCACACACCCTTTGTTAATTTCTGTTCGTTGATCTTCTTCAATTCATCCGATCCGACGGTCGAAAATTAGAGAGGTGTGTGAGAAGTAAAAAATGATGTGTAGATATCACACAACTTGAGTAAAATGTGGGTCCTTCCCTTCCCACCAGAATCATATCCTCAATTTATTGCATTCTAATGATCCCTCTTGGTGCCTGGACAAGTTTTTCTCAAACAATAATGACCCTTCAATTATATCCTAACCATTGTTTGTGTAGGATGCACTAACATTATTATATTATTATTTTTTGTTTGAGTGCATAATTACAAGTTCAAACTATAATTTTGGGCCAATGTAGTTCGGGCGAAGTTCTAATTTGATGCATGTAGTTTTAACATTCGCATTTTTTATGAATTTTTCAGCAAAATATACATGTTTGGGTCACATATGAGGTGTTTTCATACTTACAAAAAGTTTGTATTATCCGTCACATTTGTCACTCGTGTGCTACTTTTGTCGACAAATTGACTTAACTTCAGAAAGCAGATTCGCCAATTTGGCCTAATTGCAATTGTTACACAAGTATCAAAAGGTTAGTCTGCTGGGAATCATGGCATCTTAGAAATGTAGTAAAGAAGTTGGTGTGGAGTAAATGTGAAATACAAGCTACACAGGGGGACAATTTCTGCAGATTAAAGCAACAGCACCGGACGAATCTAAAGGCTGGTTTGGTATTGCTGTGCTTTGAAAAAAAATTGCTGTGAGAATAAGCGGCTGTGAAATAAATCAGCAGAGTGTTTGGTAAACTTTTTTGTAAAAGTGCTTTTGGAAAAAAAAACAGTCCAATAGTGGGTCTTTTCATTAAAGAAACACTGTAGCTCCTTGTGCTTTGAAAAAAAGCCAGTTTTCCAAAGCTGCAAATAGCAGCTTCAGCTTTTTCCTTTGATTTCAGCTTATTCTCACAGCAGCTTCCAAAATAAGCCATTTTTTTTCAGTTTACCAAACACCTAAAAGCCTCACAGCTTTTTTTCATGGGTGCTTTTTTTTTTAAGCACCTCACTCCCAAACTAGGTCTAAGATGGGCAACTACGGATTCTGAATTCTTCACAGCCTCAGGAGTTAATGTTCTTCTACTTAGTTAGAATTATTGGGTAAGCTGTAGGTCTGACAAACGGGTCGTGTCTGTCATGTTTGTGTCATTTTCGTATAACACCTGTTATCTTAACGGGTCGTGTCGTGTCACACCTGTTATCTTAACGGGTCCTTAACAGGTCGGGTCACTTTACCCAACGGGGTAAAGTGACCCGACCCATTATGACCCGTTAAGAAAAATATATTTTTTTCTTAAATTTACATATACCACACATTACCACATAAATATTACTTCAAAACATTAAAACATATTTGACATTTAAGTACTACATCTACACTCGAAAATAAGAGTCTAATAAAAAACAAGTTTGACGGTTGGATCGTTAAAATTAGTTTCATAGAATTCGTATCCCATCAAAACGATAGATTTACTAACACTTAAAGTTTATTTATATTTTCATTAAGTATAACATAAGATTTTGTGGTATCCACTTGTGTAAATATTTTAAATTGACGGTCAAATTCATTCATTGTATTTGTATAGGGTCAAGGAGTGTAGTTGTAAAAAATCATCAAAATCGGAGTTAAAATAACCGTTAAATTGTGATTTTTTGTTTTATAACCGTCGAAATTTTTTGTCTCATTTCTTTATCTCTGAATGTTTGTTTTTTGTGATTTTTGGCGTATGCGATCTCGAAGCATATACAAACAAGTTTGACGGTTGGATCGTTAAAATTAGTTTCATAGAATTCGTATCTCATCAAAATGATAGATTCACTAACAATTAGAGTTTATTCATACTTTCATTAAGTATAACATAAGATTTTGTGGTATCCACTTATGTAAATATTTTAAATTGATGATCAAATTCATTCATTGTATTCGTATAGGGTCAAGGAGTGTAGTTGTAAAAAATCATCAAAATCGGAGTTAAAATAACCGTTAAATCGTGATATTTTGTTTTATAACCGTCGAAAAGTTTTGTCTCATTACTTGATCTCTGAATGTTTATTTTTTGTGATTTTTGGCGTATGCGATCTCAAAGCATATACAAACAAGTTTGACGGTTGGATCGTTGAAATTAGTTTCATAGAATTTGTATCTCATAAAAACGATAGATTCACTAACATTTGGAGTTTATTTATACTTTCATTAAGTATAATATAAGATTTAGTGTAAATATTTTAAATTGAAAATCGAATTCATTCATTGTATTCATATAGGGTCAACGAGTGTAGCTGTAAAAAATCATCAAAATCGGAGTTAAAATAACCGTTAAATCGTGATTTTTTATTTTATAACCGTCAAAAAGTTTTGTACCGTTACTTGATCTCTGAATGTTTGTTTTTTGCGATTTTTTGCTGATGCAATCTCTAAGCATATACAAATATGTTTAACGGTTGGATTGTTGAAATTAGTTTCGTGTATCCCATCAAGTACAATGGTGTGTATATATATATATATTATGTAGATTTAAATCTATTTATTTTGTATGTATAATTATTATAGTTTTTAGGGGTATAAATTTAATTTAAAACTTAATATATATATATATGTATATAATTATTATAGTTAATATTTTGGGGGTATAATTATTATAGTATATATAATTATTATAATTATTTTAGTTAATATTTTGGGGGTATAATTATTATAGTATATATAATTATTATAGTTAATTTAATATATATATATATATATATATATATATATATATAATTATTATAGTTTTAAACTTTGTAGGGGTATAAAATTGTGAAATTAATATATACAATTATTATAGTATTTTTTAGGGTTATAAAATTATTAAATTAATATTCTGCTTATCGTGTATCGTGTTACCCACGTGTATACCCGAATCAACCCGTTATCTTAACAGGTGCTTATCGGGTTACCCGATTCGTTATCGTGTCGACCCGAACACCTGTTAATTTCGTGTCGTGTCGTGTCGGGTTATTGGATCGTGTCAGGAATTGCCAGGCCTAGTAAGCTGTCATTTGATCTCGTGAGTTATTATTCCAGTTAAAATTGATCATTTGGACTATTTTTTAGGAAAATTAATGGAAATGACAAAAATGTGTTGCAAGTGAATAGTATCATGATTGACTTTTTAGAGTAAGAATGCGATTTTTCGTTAAAGTGAACAGTACCGAGAGCTTTTCTTTAAAGTTTCCCTATTTTTTTTGTACATTAACTCCCTGAATTATTTTAAATTAGTCAATTAACCCCTCACCGTCAAATTCGATGAAATTCAATCTATTTTACTGTCAAATACTAGCACATAATTAACTCTTGAGGGTAAAACCGTGCCAGTATTTGACGGCAAAGTAGATGAAATTTCATCGACTTTGACAGTGAGGAGTTAATTTTCTTATTTCAAATAGTTTAGGAGGTTAAGTTATCAAAAAGTAGTTCGGAAGGTCAATTTTAACTGAAGTAGTATTCAAGGAGTCAATCTGTAGTTTACTTAATAATTCTAACCGTGTAGAAAAACATTAACGCCTGAGGTTCTAAAGAATTTAGAATCCTTAATCGCCCTTCGAGAAATGCTAAGGAGACTCTCTAAAGTGAGAGTCTCCACCACCTCATGTTTTTGATATAATGTTTTATAATATTGGCATGGGAATTGTGCAAAAAATATGAGGTGACGGAGAGTTCATAAAGAATCTGACTTTTGAGAGAATCTTCTTAGCATTTCTCTTGCCCATCTTAAATTCTTTTGGTGTTGCTTTAATATGCAGAATATTGTCCCCCTATGTAGTCTACATCTCACATTTAGGATGACAAATTTAACTTGAGTAATAGTTCAGAGGGTCAAACGGTAGGTTATCTAAAACCATTTGTATACAAAATTATATATTTTCCTTATTAAATTGTGGATTTTCTACTTTTTTGCTGAAACTAAATCTCTATATAGTTAGGAGATATGGGCGTAGCCAAGTTCATCATAAAATAATGTTGTCCGCTTTGCACCTAAGTTTGAATCATATATAACACAAAACTTCTCCGTCGATTCCTTCTAGTCAAGCCTTTCGGTCTGTCATTATACCTTTTCTTATGTATTTCCACACCCCTAAGAGACCCCAAAAATGGACAGCTTCCTTTTCTTAGGAACACATACAAGATTTGTCACTACAAATGGTAACTCCACCATTAACTACTTCATTTCTGAATTTCCTAGTAATAGAAATACATGTCCTAGCGAGACAGAATTTATAACCCATTTTATCATCGGGTCGAGGTAGAGACCAAATGTCATGAGCGACCGATCTGGGAGAACAATTCAAAAGATAAAGAAGTATCGTTAATTTTTTAGTACCCTTTTTTTTAGCTTCTAGAATCTATTTCTTAGTTCAAGATCCCTCTTACTAACTGGAATTAAAGAATTATGTTGGTACCATACATATTGGGCCTCAGACTTTGGCACATTGGGTCTTATTACCTAGCCTATAATTATGTAAAAGGAGGAGCCCCTTATTCTATAAAAGGGGACTCCTCCCCCTTCACAAATCGGACTCGGTGAACCCAACAGAGGGCAATACCCTCACAAACTCTCCCAAACTCTCTCTTTCTCTGGGGGACTCCCCCTCACCCTTATAACCCATACATACAATTAGAGAGAAATACAAACAATATCAATGTGGACGTAGCCCAAATATTGGGGTGAACCATGATACATCTTGTGTTTTTTACTTTCTTGCAGATTCACAGTCAGAATTATGTTGTTCCAAGACCTCCCGGTTTTGTGCATCAACAAATTAGTAAGCTAAAAAACCTATTTTCTTAGGATTACGAGGTTCATTCGAATATGATATCCAATTGTATCACAATTGAATGCTAACATGTCTGGTTTCTTCACCTTGGCACAATGAGAATGTTGAGCTTGAAGTCCTATTGCCATACTTGATACTTACTCTATATTCACCCAAGAAACCATAGAAGCTGTATGATCCATGCTCATCTGTCTGGCCCTCTACCTCCCCAGTTTGCCATTCTTTCAAGAGTTTGTCCACCACATCACCAGCAGGTAGGTTTTGAAGGTTATCGTCTGTTAGGCACATTTGGTAGCACCCATTAGGATGCAATGCAGTCCAAAGCATTATCCCATTCACCAATGGATGTGAGAAGCCTTCTCGTAAAACTTGTTCTAGATAAATTGCCTACACACAACACAGAAAATATAGTAGGTTAGTCCGGGAGTAGAAAATAATTTTACATGAGATTGTTTCTGTCGAGCCAAATGCTTCGCTTAAAACCCAAACATTAAACTTGAACACATGTCATTTTGTAACTAGGCAAGTGGTTGGAACAACTCCACGTAGTTTTTCGTGCCCTTTATGTAGAGAAAAACTTGAGTAGGAACGCCCAACCTCGTCATATGTATGACACTCTCACAAAAGCTTGGGACGTTGATCCCTTCTGGTGTGAGAGCTATCCTAATCAGGCAGTCCTACCATAGTTTCTGTTCCTATGTGTAACAACTTATGTACCTGTGTTTCTTTGTCTAGAGTGCTGCTGATATCAACCTCTGTGAGCCAAATGGGAAGGCCTAATGTGGCCAACTTGTCAAGGATTGCTCTCATTAGAGGGAGGTTTGGTACTGTAAAATGACCCTCTAGTCCAATCCCATCCATCAATGCTCCACCATGCCTAAGCTCCCTCAACCTTGAAATGTAGGAATCAACGGTCGAATTTACATCGCTGCAAGTCTCCAGCACATTAAAATCATTCATGAAAAGGGTTGCCAAAGGGTCAGATTTGTGTGCCGTCTCGAAGAAATGCAATGTGGCATTGGGGCCAAGCTTCTGCTCATAGAAATCAAAGTGAAGCATTTCATTGCTGACGTCCCAATGGACGAACTCTTCTCTGTACTTGCTCATTAGGCTTTGGATTCGGGAGTTTACCGCCAAATGCAGCTCGCTGCCGGTGAGGTTTCGAACCCATGGCGGCGTGTATTTGGGATCTTCCCAGAATATGTTGTGACCTCTAGCAATGACTCGGTTGGCACGCACAAATTGCAGCATTTGATCTGGAACGGTGTAGTTGGTTTTGCCCTGTTCAGGTTCCGTTGCGTACCACTTGAGTTCGTTCTCAAACACCGCGGCATTGAATCGTTTTGCGAACCAATTCTGGATTGTAAATTTTGTTCTTAGCTAGCATTCTCAATGTGATTATGTTGATGCATTGCATAAACAACATAAGACTTGATTTTACGAGAAAAATTTATTTTAGGTTGTTCATGTCACGTGACAATGATGAGTGACATAACAGTCTAGTTAAATGATAGGATCAAAATTTTTATTTCCTATTTTTATTTCCTGAACACAAAATATCTATTCTTAGCTTAGCATTCTCGTTGTTGTCATGTTGCTTATAAGATTGGTTTTTGCATAAAGGGCAATTCTTTCAAGCGTAAGGCTCAATTGTATGAGAGAAACTTACATCGGTCAATTATTGTCATGTAACAGTGTTGAGTATCAGAACAATTCATTTAAAATTAAGATAACATTGGTTAAATTTGATGATCAAAATTATTTCTTAAATACATGTCATCTTTTAACTGAACTATTATGCTGCTCAACAATGTCACACGATAGCATAATGATGCAGAACGAAAGTGGTGGCTAGAGTAATTCCAATTATCCTTTACCATTGTTTTAAGATAAGTTTAATGTGTTTTTGCTTCCGCTAAATTATTTAAATTCCGCTGCCATACTCTGTCCTACATCAAATATCCACGCAAGTTTTTCTGAGTATGGACTGCATCCTAACCTGATAGGGCAGATTGCCTAGAATGGTCTTTGCAATTGCAGATCCAAATGGGAAATCCTTGGAGACTTGCTCTACGTCAATTGCCGCTCCTTGCAGCCTCTTTCCCTGCATATCTGAGACATGAACCGTCACGGCACGCTTCCGTTTCTATTGAAAAAACAAAGAAAATATTACACAAAATTAACAACTTTCAGTCTTTCATAGTTAAATTAACCAGAGATCCAAATCAAATGAAAATATATATACTTACGGTGTTGATCATATATTCCTGATATGCATTCCATTGTTGAACACTAAATGGCTGCAAAGAAGAGCTGGCAATTTCTATGTTTACAGCACTGTCATATGCATTCTATATACAATCGAAACAAAAATATTAAAAATTTACATTAAATTTTGAAACTTTTGGGGGGCAGTAAAAGATAAGTAGTGAGAATTATTGAGAAGGAAAAATTACCTGAAAGAATAAGATGGATAATTGGGATGGCGAGGTTAGGACAAAGCCACCCTTGAGAAATGACCAGCATCCATGCTTAGCCAAAGCAGTTCCTACACAGTTATATATTTCATTTTCTGTCTGTAGGCTTGCCCTTATGAGACCTGAGCCCTCACCCTCTATCTTGACCCAACCTGTTGGATTAAGCCCAGACCATATGAGCCTAATGTCATTAGATATCGTAGATTCAATTCCCGTTTAGTGCAGTGCAGTCACGCGTGTGTGAGGGATTTTGTTTTCCTTATGCAAAGGACTTTAAGCGATCTACAAGTGACCTCAAGCCTTCGACACTGGTTTATGCAAGTTCAAGAATCAGGGTTACCTGAGTTTTATTCCTATAACGCTTATGCTTGCTTTTGTCGGTTTTTTTAGACACAATGGGCTGGGCTGGGCTTTGGTGTTTCTGGGTAATTTTGTTTAGACCTAATGCCTAGTTAAGCTTAGCCCAGCCTGCGCATGGCCCATCTATTATATTAAGAAATAAATTGAACAAGACAAGCATAACAGCAATCCGTTGTAGTCTAGTTGGTCAGGATACTCGGCTCTCACCCGAGAGACCCGGGTTCAAGTCCCGGCAACGGAATCTTTTTTTCTTTCTCCTCCAATTTTTTACCCTAAATTAACGAAAAATGAATAGATAATTAACGAGAAGGGTAAAAAGTTGAGAAACCCAACTGGAGAAACAGTAAATGGTGCCCTGGGTGAGATTGTGCAGTATGAACGATGGTGAATAAACTCCACTACTTGCAGTGGTTCCCAACTGATCAACGATGATTCCGCCGCCGTACAGAGGCTCCTCCGGCTGCAACTTACACTGCCCAAACAAAACAATTGATCCGGGTGATGAAAACACAATTCCCACATATAATTTGTTCGCATTTATCTTTTACCTCAGTGTAAGCAGTAGGATCATACAGTGGGCCGTCTGCAATGTGGAAAAACAGTAAAAAAAAAAAAATAGTAACATGTGAAAATTGGACATCTCTGCATTGTTGAAAAACCAGACGAAATGAGAGAGGAAGGGGGAAGAAGAGCGAACCAAATGAAACAACGAAGGAGGAGGAGCCCATGAGGAGAAAGAAGAACAATAGGAAGCTAAATGTGATATTTGTGTCTTCCATTTTTGCTTGGAGGTTGGAGGCTGAGTTGTGTAATGTTCTACTACTGCAAATCTGAAACGGATTTTATAAAGGATACTGCTTCGCTCCTTTTTGAGTTAGTGTCATTTATGTTTCTTACAAGTCACAATTTGATACGTATATACAAAAATAACTCACTAAACACACGTAAAGAAAAACTTATGCAAACCCGCCAAATATATTACTCTTTTTGTTAGACCAAGTCCAATGGTGGGCTAAAAGCCAAATTACCCCTCAAAATTCCCCCCCAAACCCACTCCAACCCAAGAGGAAAATTTGGGCTAAATGCTAAATGCTAACCTAAGGCTAGAGTCCCTCCACAATTTAGCCCAGAAATCAGAATTTAAATTTTTCAATATTTATCGGAATTTAAATTTTTTTAGATTAAAATGTTCATAAAATTAATTTACGATAGTCTACATATTTTTTTTTTAAAATTTAATTTAACAAAAAAAAAGCCTAAGTTTATTCTTTAATAATCCCGAGCTAAAATTTTAGGCTATAACGGTTAGAGCAGAAAAACTGTTTCTAGGCTAAAAATTAAATTTTCTGGGCTAAAATATTTGGTTTTTAGCCCAACCATTGGAGATGGTCTTAGAATGGAATATGAAAATTTGAGGATATGGGTTTAATTTATAAGTAAGAAGAGTTTATATTGGACCACTTCCTTTATTTTTAGGTAAAATATTATCCAAAATAATGGAAGGTTCAAATAAAAGAATGTAGTTAAAAATGAGGAGGTGGAGGTCACAAGGGTTACAGTGCCCGAAGGGACACTGAGGAGTCCGTGGGCTGGTCACATGTTTGTGTGAGAGTGAGAGCTTCATGTGATGGCCATTAGTTCATGGACGCATCAAACATTCCAACCGTGAGTTCATTCTTGTTTTTTATGTGGAGAAGAACATGGTCATGATATTTGTTGTTACTCGTAACACCATCACGTAGTGTTAGTGGTGGATTCAATTTTTTTTTTTTAAAGGGTAAAGATGTAGTCCGCTTCTCTTGTTGCTAGTTACCATACATCAGTCTCTTTGAAACATTTTGTCAGACATCTTATCTTTGTAGTAGTGACGCTTAAGGAGAATATCAAAATTGTTAGTAAGTTTCATGCGTAGCAATACAGGTGGACAGGGGCAACTAAGTACACTCACTAACTAGATGAATTGGCCTAGTTGAGTCATGATATATCATTTTAATGTATTAATGTCACATATAAAATATAAACTCATCACCCAATGCCAATATGAATGAGTAACATAAGTTCATGTTTAGTCTACATAAGTTCATGTTTAAACTACTTAAGAACTTATTGAGGGGATTAGACTTGGCACCCAACCGCGTACGGAAGACTCGTGATATGTTTTTTGGAGTCTTTGTAAGTATTGGATTGGAATTAGCAGTGCGTAGCAACTAGGTTGTATATCATAAAAAGTAAAGCTTTATGTCACTCTTACAATTTAACAGTTAGCTACGTATAATTGCAATAATAAGGTAATTGTGTCACAATTAGTGACCTCTTTTTACTAGCAGCTTGGCCTATTTGAAAAATACAAACCAAGGGTGTGGCTAATTATTTGTGCCAATTAAGAATATAATGACTTGTGTGAGAAAATGTACAACAAATCCAAAATTATTACATAGAATGACTTTAATTAGATTAGGAGAGATTCTCTCCCGCAAATAAGTTTTAGTTTTAGTGACATTATTGTTCAATAATTTCTCGTTGAGAGGGGGACTCAAAATCTTAGGGTTCGTTTGGTGGGCTAAATGAACTTGGACAATAGGAATAAAATTGGATTGGTTAGCACCAAAATGTTATATCTATCCTCATAACTATGAAAATTAATTATATCCATAACCGCAAATTAACCATCAGCGATTATCCATAACCATACCCACCGTGTAATGAATTCCCCAACGGTTAATGGTTATATCTATCTTCGTCAATACTAAAATTATATTCGTTCAATTGAGGTATTATAATATGATACATACTAATTTCGTCATTATAATAATAGATACATTGATGATGTTGGCTTATGTTTGATCTCTCCTATAGGAAAGGGATCCTCTTCGGATCCCTTTCATCAAGTCTACCAAGTCAACTCATCTGAACCATTGAAATTTGATCTAACGGCTAAAGTTATTATAATTTTTAAAGGGTCATCTGTTTGTAGTCGTTGGTTCAAATTTCAATGGTCCGGATAAGTGGACTTGGTGAACTTGGTGAAAGGGATCCGGCCCATAAGCACCTTGGATTCTTATTGGTTTTGATTCAAAACTTTTGAACTTTCTCACAAAATGCAATTTTTCTAATTCTCAAGTTAATGGATTCGGTAAATATACACACACACACACACATATATATATATATATATATATATATATATATTATACAATACTATATTATCTTATATATAATATCTATTATTCGGGTTAGTTTCGTGAGCGGATATGGATCAAGGATCTCTATAACCATATCCTAATAATATTTTCAATTTTTTCCCATATCCGAAATATAACCAAATTTTCATTCTTAAATCTGTTTTATTCAAGCGGTTATCCACGATTATCAAATTTAATGGTTTGAATTATCATCCATACTTTTAATATTAATCTATTATTTGGTGAAACACTAGATGAGACTAGACGTTCTCTCACCCCATCCTCTCTCTCCTCCTCCATCTCTCCCAATTTCTGTCCTTACAATCCAACCAAAACAAATAGAAAAAATAAAAAACCCAACAATCATCGCTCAGCCATTAAAATTCCACCATCTCCCAATTTTTGTCTTTCCAATCCAACCAAAACAAATAGAAAAAATCAAAAACCCAACAGCCATCACTCCGCCATTAAAATTCCACCGTCTCCCAATCTGTCTTTCCAATCCAACCAAAACACACAGAAAAAAATAAAAAACCCAACAACCATCAATCCACCATTAAAATTCTACCATCACTCCGCCTTTAAAATTCTACCATAAAAACAAGGGAACTTTAATAAAAAGCACCCGTTACTGTTCACTTTAACGAAAAACCACATTTTTACACTAAAAAGTCAATCCTGATACTATTCACTTTACCCTTTATTTTGTCCTTATCATTAAAACTCAAAGTTTTCAAGCCATTTTCATTAGTTTTCCTTAAAAACAAACCCAAAACCAAAAAACATCACTCCGCCATTATAATTCTGTTTGTACCATACTTGATCAATCCCGAAACTACTGAGCACTAGTCAACGTTATACTGTCCAGGACCCAGAAGAGTTTCCCTCTAACCAGGAGGCCAATCACAGCGCGACACGTGTCGACATCAAAAGCCAATCATAGCGCGACACGTGTCAACATCAGAAGCCAATCACAACATGACACGTGTCAATGTCAGAATGAAACTAGAAACTCTCTTCTATAAATACAGATAATTCTCTCACAATATTTTCTAATGTCATTTGTATTAAATCATTCACTAGTACTCACTAAAGGAGATCATGAACCTATGTACTTGTGTAAACTCTTCACAATTAATGAGAACTCCTCTACTCCATGGACGTAGCCAATCTGGTTGAACCACGTACATCTTGTGTTTGCTTCCCTGTCTCTATCGATTTACATACTTATCCACACTAGTGACCGGAGCAATCTAGCGAATGTCACAAACTTAATACTTTATGTTGTACCAAAATCCCCACTGATTTTGTGCATCAACATTTGGCGCTGTATGTGGGAACGGCACTTATTCCCACTCTCTTTAGCTTTGCCAAGCTGGTTTTCACCATTCGTACACTCTCTTTTGACCAGGCATCCCTCTCCAACATGGGGAGCGAAGGAAGCCACATCACACAGAATGACACCTTTCTTGCACCTAGTGCGAAGCAACGAAAGAAGGAAGGAAAAAGGGTTGCTCTTCAAGTTAAAGTCGATAAGCTAGAAGCTCAGAACAACAAGATAACAATGAAGAATGAGGTCCTCCAGGAGCAGTATGAGGAGCTCTTTGAGACGCTCCACGAAATTAGGCATACTCAAACATGCGAGCTCGTTGCCCCTGTGGATATCAACCATCATCTGGGTACCCCCCAACACGGAAGGTCACTTCCATTTGACATGGGTATCCCTAATGAGGAGCGAGCTAATCATCAAAACAATGATCAACATGAGACTTCTCTCAACCAAGATGCTTCGACCCGAAGCAGGAGAAATGAAGGAAGACATCTCCTTGCATAAGGGTTGGAATGATCGAAAACCGTTTATCGTGACTGCAGAGACTTCCTAAAGAACGTCGAGAGAATCCCCTTCACATATGCTCGAAGATCAATGACCCAATGGTTTCTGAAAGACTCGGTCCCCTCCCACGACCCAGGCCTACTGCCAATCTAGGGAAGGAACAACAGGTCCCAGAAGAACATGAAGGTACATGGGACTCTTCCGACAAACTTGCCCTAGAAGTTAGTACGGCGAGTCCAAGAAAAAACCACACGCCCTTGCTCAAACTTTCCCACTTCCAA